GCCTGCTCTACAAAGAGAGGTCAAAGACAGTCAGAGCTATGTAGAGAGACCCTGTCAAAAAAAAAAAAAAGAGTGTGTACATACTGGTAACCTCTTGAGAGGATCAGAGTTCAATTCCTACCACCCACATCAGCAGCTCACAAGCACCTATAACTTCAGCTGCAGGAGGATTTGATGTATCCGGCCTCCATGCACATGTACACAAAATTTTAAATTTTTTTGAGACTGTGTCTGTCTATGTAGTCCTGGCTGTCCTGGAACTTGGTATGCAGGCCACGTTCTCCTTGAACTCATGGAGATCCTCCTGCCTCTGCCTCTTGAGTGCTGGAATTAAGGGCACATGTCACCATGCCCAGTTACATATAAATTCTAAAACATTAAATAAAAAAGAATCGGTGAATGAAAATGAGGCTGTAAAAGCCAGGGATGGTGGTATGCACTTATAATCCTAGCTCTGGGGAGCCAGAGACAGGGCATTGCTGAAAGTTCAAAGCCACCCTGGCTATTTATCAAGACTCAGTCTTATAAAACTGAAAAGGAAAAAAAAAGAGCCTTCACAAAGAGCAGGTGTAGACTCCCCGTCATTGTCCTACCTTGGGCACAGTGGACACAGGCTTATTGGCTGGGCTATCTGTGGTTCCTCCACGCCTGCTTCAAGGATGACCTTGTCCCAAACCTTCTCCCATCAGAAACACAGACCCCCTCTGTGCTCCTCGGGCAGAAAAACTGGATGTATCTCATCCCTCTGTAGTGTGAAGGAGGCATAGGTGGGGCAAGGTGGGGAGCCAGCCTCACAGCAGACAATGCACGACAACATCCATCCCTGGACCCATGGGGTGTGAAACTGTGTCAATAGCCAGCACATAAAGCCTGATTTCTGGACATCTTCCCACTACTCTTCATTCAGGGACAAACTGAAAAGCCAGGGAGTTGTGACGAGGGCCAGCAATGGATTCCATCCCATGTGGCCCAGCCATATGCTTGCTGCATCTATCACCATATATGTCTATGACTTCTGGTGCCTCTTCAACTCCAAAGTTGTGTATCTCACTTAGTGACAATTTACAAGCGGTACTCAACCCTTAGATAGCAAGTTGGTCTGTTTTCTCTCTGGGTTTCCAATGAAGAGTTACAGTTCCCCTGGTCAGCATATGAGCCAGGGCAGCAGTTGGGAGGGCGGGGCTGGGCTGTGAACAAGCAGGGCAGATGGAGGCAGCGGCTGCAGTTCTCCTTACCGCTTCCTCTCTACTTCTGCTCTGCAATTCCAAAGCCACAGTGATATCACATCACTTTCCTGTTTTCACAAGAAGGTAACTCATCAAGATTTGGGTACATACGCAGGAACTGAGATGGTATTGCAATTTCCGATAGCCTCTGTGACTCTGAGGTCCATTGGCTCAAGCTGTCCGCTCTCCCCTTATTGTCTTAGCTCTTGTGCTCCTGGGACACCAGGAGGGATAAGAAAAAGTAGGGGGCACTGGAAGTTCCTGATGAAAGAGTAGCGGAACAGATGTGTGCCTGCAGAACCAAATGTGCATCAGAGAGCAAGGCATGTGCCACACAACCAGGCATCCCCCACAAAACCAGGTGTGCACTGCAGAGTAAGCTGTGTATCGTATAACCAGACATGTCCTGCAGAGCTAAGTGTGTTCCACAGAACCAGATGTGCACCAAAGCCGGGTGTGCATTGCACATATAAATGCTCACAGGGATCCCCAGGTGGGTTGTTTCCAGGACCCTGGCCTTTGGAGATGGGGAGAAAGGTGGGGTCCGGTTCAGGCACCCCACTCTCACTGCTTTCCAGATGTTCACCCAGCACCTGCTTCCTGAGATGGGCCTTGGTCCATACTGCCACCCTGTATCCTTGTGCTGCACTTGGGTGTGGTGTGGATAGGCCAATAAAGCGGGGGACGAGTACATTAGGGAGCCACCACATCTTTCCTGCCTCTGAGAAGGACTAAAACATTCCATATACTGTTTTCTAGAACAATCTGAAGAATGTTGATTCTCTCTGGTCAGGGCCCTGCACACCCCATACGCCCTTCACTGGGTCAGTGCCAGCTCTGCAGAAACTCAGCCAAGGAGTCGGAAACTGGGGCAATGGGTCCCTCTGCATCCTTGTCTTGCGGCTCAGATTGTCCAGGCAGCAAGGGATGCCCAACAGGACCATACCTTGACTGTCTCCTGCAGAATGGCTAGTGCTTGCTCCTTATCCTCCAGCTGCTGCTGGATGCTGGTCAGGTGATCCCAGAGCCCTTCAACTGGGTCCCTGTAAGGTAAACACTGACCTTTAATCCAGGATAGGGAATCATAAAGAGGTGGGCAGGGAGAATTGAGAGATAAGGGTCCACCCTTTGCAAGCACAGCAGCCCATTTTCTCCAAATCCCTTTGATTCTGAAGGGTCTTCATGTTGAAGGGGGTTGGAGGGCTCTGTAGGCCTGTGTGACAAATAGATACCATCAGCTCAGGACCTTGCTTCTGACACACACACACACTAGTGGCAGTAAACATGGATGAGGGGAGGGAACATGGTCCATATTGGGTAAAGCAAACTCAGATGTCATCATGAAAGAACTTGGTCCTAGCTTGGTATCAGGGCCCTTTGCATAGTACCAGAAAACCTGGAAATGGCTTCCCTGTATGGCTCACAGGCTCCCCCTTGGATGGTTGCTCTCTGGGTATTGATGGAGCCGGGACTTTAAGTATTCTGCCTGTACAAGTGAGGGACCCTTCCTTAGGAGCCAACTAGTCCCTCTGGGCCCAGGATGCACCTGAGCATACCTGTCCTCTTTTGAAGGTTTGTGAGCTCGTGATTGTCATGTGTCCAGCCTTCAGGAATGTAGTGATGTTCTCCATAGGAGTCCCAGAGGGGCTCTGACAGGCTGCAATTATCCACATTAGGGTCTTGAGTCCTAGTGGTATGTGGGTGGGTGGTAAGCCTTGCCCAAGGTCGGACAGCATCCACACTGGAGAGTCCTGGATCCTGTAGAGTACAGAAGTTGGAAAGTGAGGTGTAGCAGGATAAACATGTCTAGTCTCCACTCTGGGTGGGGTTGGTGAGTACCTGCAGAAGAAGAGAGAGAAGGGCTTGGGGTGGTTGTAGTTGGAACAACTCTTGAGTGTTTTCACTGCCTCAGGGTAGGTGGTTCAGGCTGGGAAGGAGATGGGGCCTGGGAAGATCCCAGCTAGCAGGAAAGTCAGGAATGGCCCTAAGTGTGTACTGTAACTTCATGTGTGGACATTATTTCATTCTGGACCACAGGGACATCTCTTCCCTGCTTTATTCTCACACAGGTTATCTGACTGTGCACAAAGGGAAGCAGACCCAGCCAACTTGCAGGCTGATTTGGGGTACAGACACTTACAGCTGCACAGGCTGAGCCTACATGAACCCTGCTGGCCTCCATTTTCTCCCTCAGCGCACACAGGACTGACTCGATAACCCCAGGCCTGTTGGACACCACCTTTTGGATATCAGCCTCCGAGATACAGAAATGCAGTTTTCGAAAGACTTTCCTGCAGAGAAAGTGGAGGTGCACTCTCAAAGCAGTGCCACCAAGGCTTGGAGTTGAGCTCTTCCTGCACTCTCATTCTCCTGGGCCATGCCTTCTAGCCACTAGGCAATATCTAGCTTCCTGAGAGAGGAGAGGCTAGCAAGGTCTGCTTTTTGCTCTGCAGCCTAGGCGCCCATGGCTATCTCCTTCCTGGCCCAGTGGGCCTATGTCTCAGGAAATCACAGAACACTTGATGCACTCCGCTGCATCAGGCCAGATGTGCTCATCTTTGCACTCATCCTTCTCTTCCTGACTGCTTGCCCTCTGCTCTGTAAGTCCTGTTGATACAGCTAAGCAGTCCCGGAATTCTGCAGCTGGGCCCTCTCAGGCATGATCGCCTACCTCCCTTGACGTTTCATTCCAACTCCATCCTCTCAAACATAAGCCCATGAGACTGTGCCCAGGTCTGAGTCCTACAATGCCCCTAATCCAATCTGAGACAGTCCTGAGGGTTCTGACTTCCCCTGCACAAAATCCCGGGTGCCCACACGTTCCCCACCTTGCTCTGCTCTGTCACTTCCTCAGGGCTCTCCTGATTTGACTACATCTGACACGTCTGTCCTACTCTGGTTGTTCTTGGTGTCACTTATCACAACAAACATACAAGCAGGGGCTTGTCTGAGGACAGTGTGGGAGTTGGAGTGAAATGTGCCACCACTAATCCCTAAGAGAACAGGCTAGCTGGTGGGCTGTCCTAGCAGGGAGTCCCCAGGAACCCTGGTTATGGTACAGTTCTGTAGGTAAGGGCCCACAGTAATGTCAGCGACCCGCAGCTGGAAACCTGTCCCTGGGTCAACTTAGGTGGGCTGAACTCCCAGGCCTTGCCTGTTGAGAAGGCTCCAGTTGCTCAGCTTCTGGTCTGTACTGCAGGCTGGCACGTAGCTGTGCAAGTCCACCAGCCGAGGGTGGAAGTACTTCACAATCTCGGCCACCAGCACTGTGGGAATGCAAGGGGAGTTCGGCTTGCCTGGTTAAGACCCTGGGCTGCAGCTGTAGTCCCTGACCACATGAGATGCACGAAGTGAAGAGGGAAGGGCATGAGCTTGTCCTGGGGAACCCATGATTATCCCTGAGAGTCCTCGGTACCACACCTAGACTCCAGGACAGACCAAGTGGTGGGATGGTCTGGGGAGCTATCACAGCGTGAGAGCCCAGGAAGAGCTGTCAGAGTCACAGGGAGCCAGGTCTGCCTTCCCCGCCCCTCTGTGCCCTGGTGCTATGGGGCTGGACTCAAGGGCAGCCCTCATTTCTGAGCCCTCTTCATCATCCGCCCCATTCATTGCGCCTCGCCCTCACTCGCACCACCATCACTGAAGTCCCGAGCTAGATGGCGCTTGGGGCGGCTGAGTGGGAGCCGGTCCAGCCAGGCGCAGAGGCTGTGAATATCCTCAGGCGTTGGCAGGAACTCGGCAGAGCTCTGCTTGGAAGCACTGAGCATGGTAAAGGAGTGGGTCTGCCGCAGCAGCGAAAGGTAGCGGAAGAAATCAGGAGGCGTCGGACCGTTGCTGGGAGACGAGACACAGCCGGAAGGGGCGGGGCCCACGCCGCACCCGGCCCTCCCACGATCCCAGGTAGCATTGGTCCTCCTGCATGTCAGGCAGGGGACTGGACTAAATTGCGGCGGATGGTTAAAATTAAGGCACAAGGTAGGTGAAATAGTTTGATCTGGTGTAATAAAATCTGCTTTACAGAATGTAGTTTTTAATCTACTTATAAAATAAAATCTTTATTAATGAATAGTGTTTATCAGTAAGTTAGACAACCATTCTGTCCCAACTCTTGTCCCATTACCGCCCAGAACGTGGCTTTTCCTCCCTAAGTCTCGTACATGAGTAGGATGTAGTAGATACAGGAACTGTGCAGAGCTGCCCCGGTGAGGGCGGGTGCAGATGTGGGAGGGGTGTCCTGGCATCCTGTCCACACCTGAAGACAGGTACAGTGGCTCACTGCGGTGATGTCACCCCAGCCTAGCAACTTCAGACATGCGCCCTAAGCTGGTCAAAGCCAGTGAAGGACACTGGAACAGGAGGGCGGCTGAACAGCAAGAGCCACAAGAGATTACTCCTGAGGTAGGAAAAGTGACTGCAGGTCCAGCCTGCATGGGGGCTGTTGCCGAAGGAACACTGGTAGCTCCAGACTCCTGCTAGCCCACGACGGCCCCGTGGTGCCCTAGCTGGTCTTCACCTCTTCTGGAAAGGAACCTTCAGAGCATTCATTGGACCACCAGCTCTCTGCCAGGAAAAAGGGGAAATTGATGTTAGGAGCATCTGGTCTGCTCTAAGAAGTACAATTCCCTAACAGCAGGCTCAGTAACTCCATCCACACAAGATGACTGCACTAATACTTCATGTATGGTGTAGACTTCTCATTGCCATATGAAAGAAAAATTGACAGCCTCTGACAGCATCAAGCACTGAAAAGTTCTGGCAGATTATAAGGCAAGCATCAAGTCTGTTACTGAGGATTTTTCCTGTTTTTGTTTCATATGTCAATAGAACTTACCAGTTAACAACAACAACCCCCCAAAAAGAAAACCCACCCCAGCCTCCAGAGCAGTACCATAGTCAGCAGGATGGTTCCAGCAAGATAGACTCCTTTCCTTCCGGGGCTTACCTGAGTCACTCCAGGAACAGTCCCTCCAGACCCAGGTTTAACTGGTGGTATTGGGGGTGCAAAGTTTGGCTTGACCTGGGAGGAACCAGACAGCTGATGGAGGGCATCACCCAAGTAGACCAAGTACTGCCCTCAATTTTACCCTCCCAAGGCTGTCCTGCTCATCTCCAGCCTAGTCCTGAAGTTTCTGTCTTCACACAGCTCTGTAGAAAACCCCTCTGGGCCACACCACTCAGAAGATAAAATCTGAAGCTGACAGTGATCCTGTCCCTTTTTTTTTTTTGGTTTTACGAGACAGAGTTTCTCTGTATTATTCTGGAGGCTGTCGGTCCAGCCTAGCCTGGAACTCACAGAGATCCACCTGCCTCTTCCTCCGAGTGCTGTGATTAAAGGCGTGGACCACCACTGCCCGGCTTGTCCTAACACATCTTACAGTCTCAACAGTAGATTACAATGTTACCAGAAGCTCAAAAGGAAAGAATTAACTACTAAAATACATTTCTTTGTATTTCCACATTCCTAGAGAGGATGGTAACCCTTGATGGCTCTGCCAGGTTTTCCTCCTGGGTGAGGCATATTTTGGCCTTCTTCCTCATCCAGTTTCTCTTAATCCTTTCTCAGAAATCGATGTGCACTGCCCCCATTTTGCCTTTGGGACTGCTCCTAGGGTTTTTCCTCCCTCCCTACTTTCTTCCCTTCCTCCCTCCCTCCCTCCCTCTTCCTCTTTCTTTTTTGTCTTTCCTTCGTTGCTGTTTTGGGGTTATTTTTTGTTGTTTTATTTTTGTTTTTGTTTTTTGAGGCAGGGGTTGTCTGTGTAGCCCTGGTTGTCCTGAACTCACTATGTAGATCAGATTGGCCTTGAACTCAGAGATCTGTCTGTCTCTGCTTCTTGAGTGCTGGGATTAAAGGTGTGTGCCGCCACCTCCTGGCTAGAGTTTTTCAGCTCTTATGTAAGTCTAAACTGAGTTCCTGGCCAGGCACAATGATGCACATTTTTAATCCTAGCACTCAAGAGGCTGAGGCAGGTGGATCTCTGTTTGAGGCCAGCCTGGTCTACATAGAGAGTTTCAGGCCAGTCAAACAAACAAACAAACCAACAAATAAATAAATAAATAATCCCTTTTATCCCCCCAAAATGGAAAAAGAAAAACAGAAAATCACACCTATTTATTCTCAAGAGGCTGAAGCAAGAGGATTGCCAAGAGTTTAAGGACTAGTCTGGACATAGTGAGTTCTATGTCAACCTGAGCTACAGAGTGAGGCCCAATTTAAAAAAACAAACAAACAAACAAACAAAAACTAGGAGCTTGTGAGATGGTTCACTGGGTAAAAGCACTTGCTGTGCAAGCATGGCAATTTGAGTTAAATCTCTGCAACATATGTAAAAGTAGAAGGAATTAACCAATTCTACAAAGTTGTCTTCTGACCCTGCTTGAATGCTGTAGTATTCATGAATGCACAACTATACAGTAATAATAATAATAATAAGAAGAAGAAGAAGAAGAAGAAGAAGGAGAAGAAGAAGAAGAAGAAGAAGAAGAAGAAGAAGAAGAAGAAGAAGAAGAAGAAGAAGAAGAAGAAGAAGAAGAAGAAGAAGAAGAAGCAGCGGCCTCTGAGACTGATCATCTAGTAAAGGTGCTTGCAGCACAAGCCTGACCACCTGAGCTTGATCCCCAGAACCAAGTAAAGGTCAGTTTCACAAAGCAGTCCTCAGGCCTCCACATGTGCACCATGCTACACATGCTCACACACATCATATACACAATAATAAATAAAAAGGAAGAAAGCATATAATCACTGTAGCAAGACATTGTGACAATTGTTAAAGGCCAAGTGTCAAAGCGTCCAGAGATGTGAGACTCTAAGGATCTGCAGACGATCTCCTAGGCCCTCATTCATCTCTTTCTCTAGGCATCAGTTCATTAACACAAAGACAGCTCCCAGCGGAGAACTCATTGGCATTTAGACCTCCATCCCATCTTGGTTACTTTCCATGCTCTTCCTGCTAACAGTGTGTCACCAACATCCACTTGCGATAAGAAGCAGACAAACAGAAGGACACTTAGAAAACTGTCAACTAGCACTGTCAACATGAGAAATGTGGACTAAAAGCCACTTGAGAGCTACAAGTGCCCAGAAGAGCAGATAAGGTTCTCAATGAGGCCTTGGACAGAGCGAGGAACAAGTACCCTGTCTTCAGGTCGCACAGGTAAGGCCTGTGTCAACTCAGGGGCCAGTGGGCATCTGTCCGGCTGCTGCCTTGCATTTGCTCCTCGGGACAGGCAAACCCATGCACCGCATGCACACACAGGTTCACCACCAGCTCAGCCATGACCCCAGGGCAGCCACCTAGGGCTGCGACTAGAGTATTGCCCCATGGGTTCTTAGAAGTAGGAAAAGTTGGGAGGCATGCCCAGGAGTCCTGTATTCTCTACCTGGAAGTGACTACACCATTGTCTGTCTTTTTTTCTCCCTAGGAGTGTGGCACCCAAGCCCACCAGAGGGCTCCAACCCCCTGTTCTACGTGGTGAACAAACAGCCTGCCAATAAGAGCAGACCTCCAGGCCCTCTAGAGTGTGTCACCAACAAGGTTTCTACCAACAAGGCCCCAAGATCTGCCTGCCTCTGCCTCCTGTGTGCTGGGATTAAAGGCGTGCGCCAACACCTGGGCTTGAATGTCTACTTTCTTTCCTTTTTTTTTTTTTTAACAAGACAGCGTTTCTCTGTATTGTTTTGGAGGCTGTTGGTCCAGCCTGCCCTTGAACTCACAGAGATCCACCTGCCTCTGCCTTCCGAGTGCTGGGATTAAAGGCGTGTGCCACCACCGCCCAGCTTGAATGTCTACTTTCAAAGCTTTAAGTCAGTGGCATTTGGAGACCTTCCATATCCCTATAGTTTCCTCCCAAGGGAAAGTGTAGAAGGGCTTGTCTCTAGGTAGCAGGCTTATGGGGTGTGTGTGTCGGTGGGGGGTGGGGGTGGGGGGATGGGATGGGGTGGGGTGGGTGGGTGGGCATTTCCTCAGAGTTAAGGCTGTTTGTTCCCTTACCTGGCTTGGTTTCAATTTTGGGAGGGGCTTGGTGGGTGGAAGAGGTCTAAACTGTTGGGGAAAAAAAGAGAATCAGGAGCCACAGACTGGACCAGTTCAGGGCTGGGGGATAGAGCACCTCCTCCTTCCCAGGCTTCCTGAATCTACTCAGTTTCAATTTAATATCCTGACTAGGCAGGGCTAATTTACTTTCCCCGTACAGCATCTGTTTCCCTAGGGCCCCAAGCCCACAGAGTCAGCCACCAGATACCCGGCCCAGGGGGTTTCCATCTCAGAACTCATGGTTGTTTCCCAAGGCTTACCAGCTTTGGTCTTTGCTGGGTATAAACTGGAACAGGGAGTGGTTGACTGGGCGCAGCTGGAGGCTTCAGGGGACAGGCATGTAAGTAAGTCTGGGCCTAAGAGGCAGTGCTAAGCCCCCACCCAGCTCATGCCCACCAAGTCCCCTGCTTTAGGGCCCAAGGCTCTTAGGCTCCCCAAATGGTACCCCCTTTCCTTCTCACCCTAGGCTAGGTGCCTGGCTCACCCCATTCCCGAGCTATGCTGTCACCTATCACACGTAAGGAGCAGCGAGGGCATTCTTCTCTCACAGCTCAGGTCTGAGAGTCCTCAAACCCACAAGTCCAAACTCCAAGTAGAGATCTTTAGAAGACAAGTCTTGACTTAGTCCCTCTCCCTCTCTTGGAGTGACTGAAATGCTTCTCAAAGCTCCAGGCTATTGCAGGGCTCATGAGTTAATTTGCACAAAAACGCTTCACTATATAGATCCCTTCACTATTCCTAGTGGGCCAATCACTGAGGCAGAGGGATAGAGAGCCTGAGTTCCCCTCCTTCCAGTCCCATGAACCTGTCAGAGAACAGTACTTACTGCAGGGGGCGGCCTCTTTGGTGTCACTGTGAATCTTGGGGTCTTCTTGGTAGAAATCACTTCTGGAGGACCTGGAGGTTTATTCTTATCTGTCAGGCTGTTGTCCCTCATGTGGAATAAGGGGTTGGAGAGTCCTATTGTAGGTTTGGGTGCCACCCTCCTGAGGATAAAAAGAGACAAATAATGGTATAGCCACTTCAGAGAATTCAGGACTCCTGGGCATGCCCTCATCCCAGTCACTCAGGCTGGCATCTCTGCTCTGGCACACAGGATACAAGCTACAGTCACAGGCACATGTGTGAGCCCAGGAAGCCAAGGAGCAAGTCTCTTGACAGCTACGCTAGAAAGTGTTTAGAGGACCTGGGAAAGCTGTCCTTCGGCAGTCAGCTTTGGGGTAAAGGTCTTGGTGCAGGGCAAAGTGGGACCCTGGTGGGGCATATGTGGCCATGGCTGTCGGTGGGGAGGTTATCTCAACTCTGGACTTAGCGTACCCCTATGTGTTGCCCACACTATGCCTTTACAGCCTCTAAGAAGAAGAAACAGATCTGGAATTCTCCTAAGCTTCCCATCCAGGCCTGTTCAACACCCAGAGAACCCCAAGACCTCTTGAATGCCTCTGCCTGGGCCTGCAGACGGAAGCAATGGCTCTTCTTTCTTAAGTAACAGCAAAGCCATTTCGCAAGTGTAGAGCACAGGAAATGTGTGTCTCATATGTAGATATGTCACCACTGCATCCTCACCTCCTCTGGACTTGCCGCGGGGCCTTTCGGTAGATGATGACACCTGCCAGAATGATCATCGCAGCTACCAGGATCACCAAAGCCACCACCACACCGACTGGAAGGCTCCCAGTCGCTGTGGGACACATGGCCACATGATCACCCAAGACTGAAACCAGCTGAATCAAGAGCTGGTGAGGGCCCTTGGGAGGTACTGGCCCAAGAATCAGTCCTCCTTGACCACATCCTAGGTCCCACACCCCACATGTGGTCAAATGCCTGAGGACTCCAGCAGATGGCTCAGTACATTATACCAGTTCTTCCGGCTCTCTCTCTCTCTCTCAGGCAATGGGTTAGAAGACGAGGTAGTGGTGAGTCCCAGTCCCACAGTGCCACCATTGAGACTTAGTCAGTCCCCGGAGGCTGTGGTGCTGTGGACAGCTGCAGGCTCAGTGGCCACCGGGGAGGAACACACTGTAGGGGTTGTGGGGAGTGGCCCTGGATACCTGAGCCAAGGCTATCTAGCCTTGTTTTAAGTAGGACAAAGTGTCACCTTTGAGTAGAGATATGGGATCCCCCTAACCACCATCAAGGCCCCCAAAATACCAGCTCCTGTCCTCCTTGGGACCTTACCTGCTTGCTTATTTGCCAGCCGCTGTGCACAGTGGGGTGGGGCCCAGCCTGCATGGCACTGGCACTCATTCTTGTGGTTGCATACCTGAAGGGAAAGCTGGGTCTCAAGGACAGATACCTCACAGGGCAGCAGGGCAGGTTGCAGCGCACATAGGGTCCCCCTCCACCCACCCTCATACGTCAATCTTGGCATATAGGGAATCTCCCTAGTGACCACACTGTCCATTGGCCACAAGCTCAGTGGAGGGCACCTGTCCCACCTCAGCCCTAGAGAGGCTTTGTCGATGCTTCCATTAGAAGGATATAGGCTAGTTTGAACCCACATTGCTATATCCACAGCTATTCCTACCACAAGTTCCACCAGAAAAGTAAGCGGTGGCAGCTACCTAGCTTGAGGGCACCAGACAGTGGGTATACCGTCCCTGAGGTCCAGGTTCACACATACCCCATGGTTGTTGCACTTAGCAGAGCAGTTTTCAGATCTATATACATGGAGGTCCTGGCAGTATCCATTCATGCAAACCTGGAAGGTGGAAGGGGTCTTGGGCAGCTGGCCTAGACCCAACCCCCACCCCACTATCCTCAAACCCAAAGGTTAGTCCAGGACAGCCAGTATGTTCACACTCCAGGATGACTATGACCTCATACTTGTGTGCGTGCATGTGTGTGTGTGGGGGTTGGGGGCTCAGCCATGAGGGTGGTACTGGATAAGCTAGCTGACCCTGGGGACACTTTGGGTATGGTGGTCTCCAGATAGGTGTCTCCACTTGCCCCGCTACCTTTTCAGTTTTGACTAGGGCATAATAGAGGCTCCGCACACATGCCTCCACCAGCCAACACTGTCTCATATGGGCACATTTGGGCATCAACAGTCCTGGACAAGTACTTCTCAGCTTACCTTCCCCTCCTCACACTTGGTACCCTGGGGTACCAGCTCATAGGTACCATAGTTGCTGTCTGTGTTGAGAGCTCGGCAGACTCCGCCGCGGGAGGTGAAAGTGCAGGAGGAACGTTCAAGGGGCTTCTGGCCTCCCTCACAGTACAGCACCCCACATTGGTTCATACTGCAGAGAGAGGGAAGGCTGTGATCACAGGTGTCCTGGGCATGTGCTCAGGGGTCTGGGTGCTTCTGGAAATGGTTCCAGGACCTCTCCTTCCTCAACGATGACAGGTTCAGGTGGATGACTTGAAACAGGGCAGACTCCAGGAGAGCCACCTGCCTCACAGAGCAGGCCTCCTCTGTGGGGAATCTTCTGTGGACTAGCCTTGCCATTGAAGACATACCACATCCAGTACGGTTTGGCCTTGATACTTACCTGCTAGGATATATATTGCCATTGCAGCCCCGAGGAATTTTATAGGCAAAGCAAGAGTCTGATGCAGCCTGAGCACCTGTGGGGCCAGGAGAAGTTAGCCTGGTTTAGGTCACAGACACTCCACAAGCTGGCCCTCACCCTATGCTCACGCCTGCCTCACCTGGCCCCCACAGGCTCTGGCACTGCTGTGTCAGTGTGGGGCAGTGCCCATTAAAGCAGTAGCCCCCTGGGCAGGGTGTGCCATTCTGTTGGAAAGCATCTTCAGGACATGTTGGCTTCTGGCCATCACAGTACTCCTCCAGGTCACATCTGTCCTTTCTGGGACGACACAGCTCACCAGCTCGCTTCACCTGGTCCCACAGAGAAGCTTACTGTGAGATACACCCACATGATGCCTTCACAGGTACCCCATTGTCCTGGGTTTGACTGGGGAAGATTCTTTCTGCATGGAGTCCAACTTACCTTGCACCTATGACAGCAGGCACCATCGGCACATTCTGCCCCCTTGGCCAGTTGGCAGGTGGTGGCATTGCAGCAGGGGTTCGTGCAGTCCTAGGAGGACAATGGTTTGAGCAGCTACACCCTAGCCAGACCTTGTTCCAGAGTGGATTAGCCTTTGGTGATCACTGGGTAAGCGGCTGCAGCTAATTTATCTCTAACTCTCCTATAGGTTATTAGGGGTTCAAAGGCAAATGTGGTAACTGGTGACCCCAAGGGTCAAATGTGGCGTGGGCACATAGCATCATATCTGAGAGGCTAACCTAAGCAAAAGGACCTTGGGTTGAGCTCTCTAGACTAATGCTGAGGCTGACCAGCAAGGGGGAGGGATGGGGTGAGACAGACCTGAGGTGCACCACAGTCACACTGCTCTCCACGCTCTACAAATCCGTTTCCACACACAGGACCACCCACGAACCGGTTGACATCTGGGAAATTGGTCAGGCAGCTTGTCTGGGGTTTAACCACGAATGACTCTAAGTCGTCCTTGCTACATCTGCTGAATTTCTTGGGGAACACGGAGCTAAGGGTAAGGGATATCACCATTAGGAAGTTCAACATGCCAGTCTGTCTCTTCCTACCCA